TTAGAGATATAATGAAGATTACTGTTGGGGTTACAGGGAGGATTATTATTAGAGATATAATGAAGGTTACTGTTAGGGTTACAGGGAGGATTATTGTTAGAGATATAATGAAGATTACTGTTGGGGTTACAGGGAGGATTATTATTATATTATTAGAGATATAATGAAGATTACTGTTGGGGTTACAGGGAGGATTATTGTTAGAGATATACTGAAGATTACTGTTGGGGTTACAGGGAGGATTATTATGGAGAAATATAATGAAGATTACTGTTGGGGTTACAGGGAGGATTATATTATTGGAGCTATAATGAAGATTACTGTTGGGGTTACAGTGAGGATTATTGTTAGAGATATAATGAAGATTACTGTTGGGGTTACAGGGAGGATTATTGTTAGAGATATAATGAAGGTTACTGTTAGGGTTACAGGGAGGATTATTGTTAGAGATATAATGAAGATTACTGTTGGGGTTACAGGGAGGATTATTGTTAGAGATATAATGAAGATTACTGTTGGGGTTACAGGGAGGATTATTATTATATATTAGAGATATAATGAAGATTACTGTTGGGGTTACAGGGAGGATTATTGTTAGAGATATACTGAAGATTACTGTTGGGGTTACAGGGAGGATTATTGTTAGAGAGATACAATGAAGATTACTGTTGGGGTTACAGGGAGGATTATTATTGGAGATATAATGAAGATTACTGTTGGGGTTACAGGGAGGATTATTATTGGAGCTATAATGAAGATTACTGTTGGGGTTACAGGGAGGATTATTATTAGAGCTATAATGAAGATTACTGTTGGGGTTACAGGGAGGATTATTGTTAGAGATATAATGAAGATTACTGTTGGGGGTTACAGGGAGGATTATTATTAGAGATATAATGAAGATTACTGTTGGGGTTACAGGGAGGATTATTGTTAGAGATATAATGAAGATTACTGTTGGGGTTACAGGGAGGATTATTGTTAGAGATATAATGAAGATTACTGTTGGGGTTACAGGGAGGATTATTATTGGAGATATAATGAAGATTACTGTTGGGGTTACAGGGGAGGATTATTATTGGAGCTATAATGAAGATTACTGTTGGGTTTATAGGGAGGATTATTATTATAGATATAATGAAGATTACTGTTGGGGTTACAGGGAGGCATTATTATTGGAGCTATAATGAAGATTACTGTTGGGGTTACAGGGAGGATTATTATTATAGATATAATGAAGGTTACTGTTGGGGTTACAGGGGGATTATTATTATAGATATAATAAAGATTACTGTTGGGGTTACAGGGAGGATTATTATTATAGATATAATGAAGATTACTGTTGGGGTTACAGGGGGGATTATTATTATAGATATAATGAAGATTACTGTTGGGGTTACAGGGAGGATTATTGTTATAGATATAATGAAGATTACTGTTGGGGTTACAGGGGGGATTATTGTTAGAGAATAATGAAGATTACTGTTGGGGTTACAGGGAGGATTATTATTAGAGATATAATGAAGATTACTGTTGGGGTTACAGGGAGGATTATTGTTAGAGATATAATGAAGATTACTGTTGGGGTTACAGGGAGGATTATTGTTAGAGATATAATGAAGATTACTGTTGGGGTTACAGGGAGGATTATTATTACAGATATAATGAAGATTGCTGTTGGGGTTACAGGGAGGATTATTATTAGAGATATAATGAAGATTACTGTTGGGGTTACAGGGAGGATTATTATTAGAGATATAATGAAGATTACTGTTGGGGTTACAGGGAGGATTATTATTAGAGATATAATGAAGATTACTGTTGGGGTTACAGGGAGGATTATTATTATAGATATAATGAAGATTACTGTTGGGGTTACAGGGAGGATTATTATTATAGATATAATGAAGATTACTGTTGGGGTTACAGGGAGGATTATTGTTAGAGATATAATGAAGATTACTGTTGGGGGTTACAGGGAGGATTACTATTAGAGATATAATGAAGATTGCTGTTGGGGTTACAGGGAGGATTATTGTTAGGATTGCAGAAAAGTTTGGTGTTAGGGTTACATGTACAAGGTGGTATAAAAAAGTTTGGAGACTAGTTTTGTAACACGCCAACAGATGGCAGCACAAGGCTGCACACACAGTCAAAGCACCAGTCTTCATAAAACAGTGTGCCAAAAGACATCATCCTGTGTATATCATGAACTGTGCCATTTTGACCAGGAGAATCATTTCCAATGACGAAACTTGGGTGCGCGGGTTTCACACAGAATTTCATGTTTGCTCTTTGTTCTAACTTGCTGTCCATGATGAAATAGCAGATGTGGTAATGCACATGGTCAGAACAGCACCAGTTGCACAACTCCCGATGTACACAGGATGATTTCTTTTGGCACACTGACATAGGAAGGTCGGTGCTCCTTGTGACTTGTACTGCCATCTGTTGGAGTGTTACAAAACTAGTCTCTAAACTTTTTGATACCACCTTGTAGACTTTATATTATATATATATATATATATATATATACAGTCAGGTCCATAAATATTGGGACATCGACACAATTCTAACATTTTTGGCTCTATACACCACCACAATGGATTTGAAATTAAACGAACAAGATGTGCTTTAACTGCAGACTGTCAGCTTTAATTTGAGGGTATTTACATCCAAATCAGGTGAACGGTGTAGGAATTACAACAGTTTGCATATGTGCCTCCCACTTGTTAAGGGACCAAAAGTAATGGGACAATTGGCTTCTCAGCTTTTCCATGGCCAGGTGTGTGTTATTCCCTCATTTTCCCAATTAAAATGAGCAGATAAAAGGTCCAGAGTTCATTTCAAGTGTGCTATTTGCATTTGGAATCTGTTGCTGTCAACTCTCAAGATGAGATCCAAAGAGCTGTCACTATCAGTGAAGCCATCATTAGGCTGAAAAAACAAAACAAACCCATCAGAGAGATAGCAAAAACATTAGGCGTGGCCAAAACAACTGTTTGGAACATTCTTAAAAAGAAGGAACGCACAGGTGAGCTCAGCAACACCAAAAGACCCAGAAGACCACGGAAAACAACTGTGGTGGATGACCGAAGAATTCTTTCCCTGGTGAAGAAAACACCCTTCACAACAGTTGGCCAGATCAAGAACACTCTCCAGGAGGTAGGTGTATGTGTGTCAATGTCAACAATCAAGAGAAGACTTTACCAGAGTGAATACAGAGGGTTCACCACAAGATATAAACCATTGGTGAGCCTCAAAAACAGGAAGGCCAGATTAGAGTTTGCCAAACGACATCTAAAAAAGCCTTCACAGTTCTGAAACAACATCCTATGGACAGATGAGACCAAGATCAACTTGTACCAGAGTGATGGGAAGAGAAGAGTATGGAGAAGGAAAGGAACTGCTCATGATCCTAAGCATACCACCTCATCAGTGAAGCATGGTGGTGGTAGTGTCATGGCGTGGGCATGTATGGCTGCCAATGGAACTGGTTCTCTTGTATTTATTGATGATGTGACTGCTGACAAAAGCAGCAGGATGAATTCTGAAGTGTTTCGGGCAATTTTATCTGCTCATATTCAGCCAAATGCTTCACAACTCATTGGACGCTTCACAGTGCAGATGGACAATGACCCAAAGCATACTGCAAAAGGAACCAAAGAGTTTTTTAAGGGAAAGAAGTGGAATGTTATGCAATGGCCAAGTCAATCACCTGACCTGAATCCGATTGAGCATGCATTTCACTTGCTGAAGACAAAACTGAAGGGAAAATGCCCCAAGAGCAAGCAGGAACTGAAGACAGTTGCAGTAGAGGCCTGGCAGAGTATCACCAGGGATGAAATGCAGCATCTGGTGATGTCTATGCGCTCCAGACTTCAGGCTGTAATTGACTGCAAAGGATTTGCAACCAAGTATTAAAAAGTGAAAGTTTGATTTATGATTATTATTCTGTCCCATTACTTTTGGTCCCTTAACAAGTGGGAGGCACATATGCAAACTGTTGTAATTCCTACACCGTTCACCTGATTTGGATGTAAATACCCTCAAATTAAAGCTGACAGTTTGCAGTTAAAGCACATCTTGTTCGTTTCATTTCAAATCCATTGTGGTGGTGTATAGAGCCAAAAATGTTAGAATTGTGTCGATGTCCCAATATTTATGGACCTGACTGTATATATATATATATATATATATATATATATATATATATTTGTATATATTACTTGGTACAATGGTAAAGCAGGAAATCACTCCAGGTTATATTATACTCACAGACATGTTCCATTCATCAGTCACAAGACATATTTCCTGCTTGGATCTCTGCATGGTATGTCTCTAATTTTTTATTCAGAATTACTTTAACCCTTGCAATGTGATGCACCAGGTTGTGCCTCAATATCCTTGCGTACAATGCAGGATTATAAATCCCGGGTTGTATGTGAGGACACCAGAGAGGCCAGGACCGGTTCAGCGGCAAAGTGAAGGGGTTTCAAAGACTTTGTGTGGTGGGGAAGAAGCCTGGGGCAGCAAAGAACAAGGTAAGTATGTCACCTTATTCCTTTCCCCCTAAACCAACAAGGGTTCCATGGAACCACAGGGTTCCTCCACAGGTTGTTAGGAGTTCCTTGAGCTGTGGCTGATTGACCTCTCATCTGATGTTGCCTGGATCATTTCAGGTCCAACACCACTTGGCAGAGCCAGCACCATGACACCAGTAATCTTTTCAACTGTCTATAAGGGTGGCATTCTGACCACCACTGAAAGGGGACATGTTTCCAACTGACCCCCAATAAATTACTTTTAGCAGGGTTCCCTGAGTCAACAAAGATATTTCCTTTTAGTAAAAAGTTTTAAAAAAGGCTTCCCTACACAAAATTATGATTAGTACAGAGGGGGGTCCACTGCAGTGTTTTTTTTTTTCCCTGGAGCTCTTCTTCAGCAGACAGTTTCCCTCTCTGTATCAGATGTTTTGTTCAATCGCATGAGATATCCAGCCCCATATAGTTTATACCACTGTATAAGTGACATGCTGGGAACTGTATTTCCTAGTGCAGGTAAAGTTAGAAACAGGGGCGAACTGACAACTCATGGGGCCCCCGGGCAATAGGGGATCATGGGGCCCCTGTGTCCTTGCCCAAACTCAAAAAAGCCTATGAAAAAGGTACCAGGGGCATCTCATGGGGCCCCTTCTGACCCCGGGCCCTCGGCAGCGCTCGAGTTTGCAAATGGTCAGTCCGCCCCTGGTTAGAAAACATATTGATTTGTATTTCTGAAAGGCATGTGTAGCCACTTGCCTGGCTAAGAATGGAGAGTGAGAAAAACACTGACTGCAGCTGCTCTCTGTAGCTGCTGCCCAGCAGTTCTGAACTGGTTACCAGCTGTATCAGTAAAAGGATGGAGCTACTGAGTTGGACAGTATTGCACTGTGGGAACTGTAGTTCAGAGGAGAGAGACTCCTCCGTGTAATCAAAAGCTTTTGCACTACATTTTCCAGAGATTGCCAGGAGGAGGGGAAAGAACTGAATTTTCCAAGGCTGTATAGAACACCGCCTCCTTTTGCCGTGAGTGCTCATTGCTGTCCAGTGTGCACCTTCAATGACATGCATCAGTGAAGGTGCATCAGTGAAGGTGTATCAATGAAGGTGCATCAGTGAAGGTGTATCAGTGAAGGTGTATCAGTGAAGGTGCATCAGTGAAGGTCCAGTGTGCACCTTCACTGATGCATGTTGGATCTGAAGTGCTGAGTTCAGGGGCGGACTGAAAACTCATGGGGCCCCCGGGCAATAGGGGATCATGGGACCCCTGTGTCCTTGCCCAAACTCAAAAAAGCCTATGAAAAAGGTACCAGGGGCATCTCATGGGGCCCCCTACTGACCCCAGGCCCTCGGGCAGTGCCCGAGTTTCCAAATGGTCAGTCTGCCCCTGGCTGAGTTTGGGAGTGCTAACAGTCAGAGTCACCTCGGTGCAGAGCAGAGAGTGGACTAATCGCTGTTTGTAACCAGATGGTGAGCTACACTATTGCTGGGGCTGGTGAGCTACGGTTGTGGGGCAATACTATCTGATGCTAGAGAGAGAGAGATAGACTGAACCCTTTAGGACCTAACAATACAGCCATATAGTAGCCTTATTGCTGCCTGCAGGCTTGAGTGGGACAATTCTCATGTGCACCAATGGTATAACTTGGCCCCAATGCTGGCCGGCTGAAGAGTTAGGACTACAAATGATACCTTTACAGATGCTACACAGAGACCTTCACCTATTGCTTATGCTAAGAGGTTCCTCTCAGGGGACATTGCACTATATCCTAGCCATTCTCCTAGAATCTGCTCGAGATTAGTTATAGAATTATTATTCACATTGCAGTTAATATATACACGCTCTGCTCATTTATTTATGAGTTGATTCCAGTCTAGTGGACTCTAACCTAATTCACATCAGCCTAGAGATCACATTGTTTAGCAGACTGTGTCTGAATCTTTCCTCTGTATTCTCATTTATGCTCAAACCATCATTTAATGTAACGGTACTGATACATTGAGTTCATTTCCCACTAAATGGTCTTGTGTCTATTTACTGATACTAATTCACAGGCAATTCGAGGTATCCACACTTGTGTTCCTAAGTACATGCAGTAACTTTCCCTCAACCAGGAGTGCCAGAGGGGCTGAGGATTTTCATGGAGTCGAGGCACAGAATAGAGAACCCAATTTACCAATGGGCTCCTTTGGGTGTAACGCTACACAGTATCTCATCGGCTGTTTGCATTGGGAGTAAGCTATTTATAAGCAGTATATAAGTAGGCCACCTTAGTAACAGGATAATAACAGTGACATAAAGACCTATTTGTCCAGCTAGCTTGCTTTTATTCATTAAGGTCTGAGTCTCAGAGGACTACTGATTTTATTATCAATGATTCTCTAATCCTATCATTTTTCCATTATATTTGCATCCTCCTTGTTCTTACTATTCCCAGTTATGATTGTACTCAGTTATTATTGTAGCTTTATCCTCCAGCTATTTTTTTACATAGCGTTTACATTTTTAAATATTTGCTGTACCATACTCCCAATATTGTTAATTAAGTGGGAAGAAAAGCCTAATTATAACTAGTCTTAAAATGGTCTCTCTCCCCTCCCCCTCCCCCTACCTATTCTTTATGAAAAGATGTGTGTACTTACCTATTTTCAATCTGCTATCCACTTGCTATGGGGCACTCATGTGGAGCACTCAAGTCGCAGTTTGTGTGGTCCTGATCGCTTCTCACAGGCTGTGATTGAAAGCCAATGGCTCCCGCTGCTGCCTCCATGGCCTGTGAGGAGGCAGAGAGCAGAGAGAACTGCTGCTCTCAGGCACAGTGCTGGATCGAGATCTGTCTCAGGTAAGTATAAAGGGGGGGGGGAGCTGGGTTGGTAGGAGCACACAAATAATGCATTAAGGTAAAAAAAAGCATGCCTTTAGAATTAATTTTAAGTGTTACTAAACCCACAACAGTAAAATCAGTCTGTATATGCAGTAAAGCATGCTTGTTATACTCACTGTGGAACCTAAGAGGTTAATCCTCTGCATTTTGTAAAAATATTGTGTGATCCTGACTTCTCTGATCCTCCCCTTTTTTCAGTGTCTTCCTATTATCTCCTGATAAGAAATATATTGTGGAGACACTGCACATGCTCAGTTTGATGTGTATTGCTAGAGAGGTTTTTTATTCTTTCTTAGGAGAGTGCATGTGATCAACACAGAGCCAATCAGCACTGCCCAGATAGAGGCCAGGGGTTCTACATCCTCCTAGAGAAAACTCCTCTAACAAGCTTTAACCAGTGCTCGGCTGGACACTGATAGAAGTCACAAGACTTCTCTAACTGTTGATGAGAAAAGGTATTTAGCAGTTTATATTTACTAAAATAATTACATTTCCATGTTGTGTGTACTTTGGACTAGGTATAGAGAATGCAGGGTCTGGGGTTTAGTAACACTTAAAGTCTATGGGTAGAGGAATAAACTGTAATACCTTATTATATGCTCTGGCAGACGTCCTCCATGCTGTGCGACTGGTTCCCTGAAGCCTCTTCTCTTTGGTACTCTGGCTGATGGTCACATGCTCACCTCATCAAGTACAATGCAGGGCCAATAGTCCTGCATCACACTATAAGTGAGAATGGCCAGAGTCCATTCACAAACCAGTGTGTCAGAGGGAAGTGGGGAGTGCTGGAACCTGCAGGTAATCTTCTTTTTCTGTCTATAAAGATTTTTTACCAACACTTTTTTAACTATTCTAGGCAAATGGATGTTTGACTTAAGTTTCCACATTTCTTTAGACCACTACAGGGTCATAATTATATAATTATATGGGGCGGCACAGTGGCTTAGTGGTTAGCACTTCCTAAAAAGTTAGTTACCAAAGAAATGTTCCAATAAATACAACACTTCTATTATACCAACATCATTGCGCCAATGTAATAAAGAGGTTAGCACTTCCGCCTGGCATCACTAGGGTTGTTGGTTCGAATCCCAACCACAGCATCACCTGCCTGGAGTTTGCATGTTCACCCTGTGCCTGCATGGGTTTCCTCCCACACTCCAAAGACATGCTGGTAGGTTAATTGGATCCTGTCTAAATTGTCCCTAGGATGTGCATGAATCCCACCATGTTCTTGTGGACTCAGGTGGGATCTTTGGCCTAAATGATACAAAGAACATAACTGTATCTCGTGGCTAAGTGGTTAGCACTTCCGCCTAGCAGCACTAGGTTTGCTGGTTCGAATCCCAACCATGGCATTATCTGCCTGGAATTTGCATGTTTTCCCTGTGCCTGCATGGGTTTCCTCTGGGTACTCCAGTTGCCTCCCACACTCCAAAGACATGCTGGAAGGTTAATTGGCTCCTGTGTAAATTGGCCCTAGTATGTGTATGTATGAATGTGAGTTAGGGACCTTAGATAGTACGCCCCTGGAGGGTTAGGGACTGATGTGAATGTACAATATATATGTAAAGCGCTGAGTAAATTGACGGCGCTATATAAGTACCTGAAATAAATAAATAAATACAGTATGATGGGGCCCTGTAGCAAAACCATTAAGGGGCCCCCTGCCTCAATAATCTCTATCTCAAAGGTAATTTCCCTAGTGATGCCAAATACTGTGTGTTATCATGTAGGGGTAAATACACAATCATTTTATCCAAATTGATTTGCCAAATGTTATTGCTACTTGCATAAATCACCATGCAGCCAGACTGCTGCGGGCCCCTGATGCTTCTGGGCCCCAGGACAGTCTCATGGAAGTCTGCAGCAACCAAAGGACAGTAGGGATGCTCATCTAAAGGGATGCTGGGAACGTGTTCTTTCATATATAACTTATGAAGAGCAGTTCAGTGACTGTCACAAGCCCTGAAATAATGCCCACCCATGACTGAGGCCAGACGATTATTGATGGCAGGCAAAATATTTGTGAAAGGTGGACCAATGACAGTACAGAGTGGGAGGAGAGGAGAGGAGATTGATGATGACGGGAGTCATTCAGGAAATGAGATTCAGGTTTGCAGGGAAAGGTAAGGCTGGAGGTCAGCTTAAAAAAATCTACTTTCTACAGTGTCTCCTTCACAGTTAAACACATAAAAAAGAATTTTAAAAAATGGCGAGCACTCTGCTATCTTGGTGTATCATAGCTAGCTGTGCAGGGGGCGGGGCACTGACAGCATGGAATGATCTGGAATCAGGTCATGAACAGACAACAAACTATTCCGGAAGGAAAGCAGCAAACCTGTATATTACTTGTCCTTCCGCCTTCAGTATTGGTCACAAAATGTACAAAACTTGATATTTCAGAATCTAATTTGGGGCCTGACGTGCTGCAAAGTCTGCTGTAGGTGAAACAGTTGGTTGCCATGGCAACCCATCAGCATCCTTGATGTATTTTAAAACTGCAAAAATTGACATTGAAAGTCAATTGGTTGCTCTGGGCAACCACACGTCTTTTCTCCAACATTGCTTTTCCTCCACAGCAGAAGGGTGTGGCCAAGGGCGGGGACTGTGCAGAAGGCGGTGTCTTTGAATGAAGTTGAATGTTTGGCATCATTGGAGTCCTGTATTGTTACCCCTATATGCCCCCGCCCACACTGCTTCTCTGAAAAGTGATCTGTAATAGCTTTTCAGAGGCACTTGGCATGAGGTGAGGAGGTGATATGTCGCCTCCTCACAACCAGATTTGATCCTGTAAATACTGCCCCACCGCGCTGCATGTGCTTGCCGGAGGGAATGCAGCATGGCCCCATAGACTTGGGTGGTGTGCCAAATGGAACATGCTAATTGTTTGCTGTGAACATGAAGCAAAGCATCATGGCAGCGGCATGTGTTCAGCTCTGAGTGGCTGCATGCTTGCGTTCGTGTGAGCAGTTGGGGAGAGGGGAGGTAGTAAAAATGTGGCTCAACCACCTTTGTTTTACCATCCCCTGGCTGCACGTGTGAACAATACCCTTGTTTTATTTCTTTAGACCAGGGGTCTCCAAACTTTATAAACAAAGGGCCGGTTTACTGTCCTTCAGACTTTAGGAGGGCCGGAGTGGGAGTAGAAAATGTCTAAGCGTCAGGAATAAAACAAAATATAGTCAGTGGAAGGGGGAATAGTGCCCCATCATTGGTGTCAGTGGCATGAATAGTGCCCCATCATTGGTGTCAGTGGCATGAATAGTGCCCCATCATTGGTGTCAGTGGCATGAATAGTGCCCCATCATTGGTGTCAGTGGCATGAATAGTGCCCCATCATTGGTGTCATGGGGAGGAATAGTGCCCCATCATTGGTGACAGTGGGAGGAATAGTGCCCCATTATTGGTGACAGTGGGAGGAATAGTGCCCCATCATTGGTGTCTGTGGGAGGAATAGTGCCCCATCATTGGTGACAGTGGGAGGAATAGTGACCCATCATTGGTGTCAGTGACATTAACAGTGCCCCATCA